TTTATAAAGAACAGGTCTTACAGTCAAATCTCATTTTCTTCTCTGATGGTTCCTGGACTGGTCGATCAAGGATAGGTGAACGTTTTTGCATAGCTGAACTTCAGTGACATACATGACAAAGTCTCACCCCATTTCCTTGTGGCCAAGCTGTATTCAAGACACAATGATACCGAAAATGTGGCGATTAATAGATTAAGTGTCCGTCTGGAATAGTGGTTCTGCAACCTTGCATAACCCCTGTTCCCATTGGATTAACAGACAAATTTCAAGTCTTACATTAATCCTATTTGAGATTTCATATCATCAGCATTATGACTAAACACAAAAATCAAACAGGGACAAAGGGCTACTTTGTTTTCAGGCTACTCGTGCCCTCCCAGAAGATTCCGATATAGAAGAGCACGTGAGTTTAGAGAGTCAGTCATTCATTAAACTAATATTTATTGAGCACCTATTATATTTCAGGCATATTGTGGCTGCTGGAAAAACTAGAGTGAAAAAGACAGCCAAAGATCCCTGCATTCATGGAATTTACATTCTAATCAAGACATGTTATATTGTTTACCCAAATTAACCAAGTGGTAAGGCAGCCCTGTGGTCTGTCTTCTTCATAACTGTATCCATGGCACCTGGCATATTGTAGGTGCTTAAGACATATATGTTGTTGAATGATAAAATCAGAGCTGGGTGTCACACACACACTTTTTGACTCCAAAGATAACACTCTTTCATAGCTGTATGCCAGAACAAATTGAAGAAATAAACTGTACTTGGGTCTGAAAAAGCTCATTATATCGGGATGAGATGGAGACAATAGGTCTTGACAGCATGAGTGAAAATTAGGCAGAGGCAAAGAGAATAAATTCAATATAGTTATTCATCTGACAAATATTAGGATTTATCAGACCTTTTTCCAAGTGATAGGGCCAGAACAATGAGCAAGGAAGTCATAGCGCCTACCATTCTGGGGCTTAGAATCTAGCAAATACACAATGGTGCTGTGGCTGCCAAAAAAATATAAAATGCAATCTTAGCCTCAAGGATTATGAGTGTGATGTCTCAGATATGGGGAAGGATGAACTCCACTGAGCTTTGCCATGGTTAGGCTATGCCTAGAAAACTGAACTCAGCTCTAGATACCACCACAGAGAGATACAAAGCTGGATCATGTTCAGGGGAGAGTGAACTGAGTGATGAAGGGAGCAGAAACATGTAGCACAGCAAGTGAGGAGGTAATGGGTGAGTCTCTGGAGAAAAGGCAAGTGGGCAGCATAACCACCTTCAAATATGTGAAAAGCTAATGTGATAGTTAGTATTTTTGCTTCCCAACTATTTCCAGCTCTCTGCCTCCTGAGCACAGACAGGTGAGGTCATATGAATAATTCTAGCTAACAAGTCCAGCGCAGAATGGTGTATAGTACTTGCAAGCCAGAACATTTCAGTGCTGGTGAGACACTCTTTCTCTTCCAGTGAACGGCAATGATGAGAGGTGGTGGCTGGGCTCTGACAGCCTGGGCCCCTGAGTGATTAACATGAATAGGATCCCTAGCTTACCCTCAATGGACATTTTGAATGAGCAAGAAATACTAGTTGCTGTTATGGTTTTTATTACTGCTGTTTCATGCCACTGAGATTATGATCAGTGTTTGTCCCTGCAGCATAACCTAGCCTATCCTGACTGATATGTGTGCCATGTATGGAGGGACTAGTCTGGCAACATATGGCTCCCAGGGTTAGAACTAGGAGCACCTCAGGCTGCAGCAGGAGTTACTGAATTTGTTATGGAATAGCATAAATATGAACTTTTCCACCAAGGTCCCTAAATATGTAATAGACTTCCTTCGGAGGGAAGATCACTGGACATCTTCAGTCTACAACCCTCGGTGGGGATGATGGACCTGGACCTGAGGGGTCTCCCAACCCTGAGAGGCTGGCGTACCACAGTGTGGAATGGGCTTAGCAAGCACACTATTATTGCGGTGTTTGCCCTAGGGGACCCACTGGGGCAGTCCTGAGTTGGCTCACTATCATATTTCCACTGGCCACATGCCCAGGCCCCTGCTGCTCTCACTGTACCACACAGTCATGAATCTGTGCACAGCATTGCTAGGGGCTCAGCAGGGTGTACAAAAGGCACAGCAGCTCAGATGGCAACAAGATCAAACAAATGGCAAGGGTTCTCTTGGCCTGCTTTCATGCAGAATGATAAGTAGTCCTCTGGGGCTCCTGCTTGCATCATTAGCATCCTGGAGGCATTAGGAAGCCTCTGAAGTTCACCCCTACTGATTTGTCCCTCATTATCCTTATTCTGCCTTCTAGGAACTAGAGCTAAGCACCTTTCTTAACAATGCAGAATGCCAGTGTAAAGATCTGCTCTGGGGAGGTGTGTGTTCAGAGAAAGCCCTGGTAAGGGGATGAAGGAAAACATGGTTTTAGCATCAAAGACCAGGTTTGAGCACTTGCCCCCTTTTCCAGTTGTTGACTGGAGCTGGATCACACTGGCTTATGAGAGCTGATTGTGCACATCTCTTTCAAGTTAGTGCTCAGAGAGCTCACAATGGTAGCTTAAAATTGGTTATTGGTTATTGTGGGAATATTTACACCATGGAAATTGGTAAGTGCTAAAAGTTAGGAGTTTTTTTTTTTTTTTTTTTTTTTTTTTTTTGAGACTGGGTCTCACTGTGTTGCCTAGGCTGGAGTGCAGTGGTGTGAGCCTAGCTCAATGTAGCCTCAAAGTCCCGGATTTCCTGGACTCAAGTGATCCTCACACCTCAGCCTCCTGAGTAGCTGGGACTACAGGCTCCTGCACTATGCCCAGCTAATTTTTTTTTTCAACTTTTGTAGAGTTAAGTTATTGCTATCAACTTAGGCTGGTCTTGAACTCTTAGCCTCAAGCGATCCTTCTTACCTGGGCCTCCCAAAGTGCTGGGATTACAGGCATGAGCCACTGCAGCTGGCCACGCCTTTTATTAGTTTTATTATTTAGACAGCTTACCAGCACAACCTTGCAAATAGGGAGATAGTGAGAAAATCATGGTCTTTGGAACCAGGCAGGACCAAGTTCACCCTGACTCTGCTCAGCTGTTGTCATTGAAAGGGATATATTTTGGAGATACTGAAACTTCTGTGAACCTTAGTTTCCTTGTCTGTAAAAGTAAGAAATTTTAGTTTCCTTGTCTGTAAATTAATAACTAAAACCAAAATATTAACTACCTCAAAGGGTAGTGTGAGGATCAAATGAGGTGATGTCCGTAGATTGCTAACTAAATTAAGCTCCTTCCCTTGGGGCACATAGAGAACAACTTCCAGGGAGAAAAAGAAAACACGCCTGAATTTCAGCTTTTTGCTTTTAGCTGTGGAAAATATTCCCAGACGCTTCACAGCCTCGCGTCCTCATATGCTATTGGCCAGTTTAGCGTCACATGACCATCCCTAACGCCAATCACTTGGCAAGGGAAAAATGAGAGCCAAGCCACAGCTCCTGAGGGAGCCCTGGAGCCCCTGTTGGCCTTAGTGGGATTTTTAAAGCCCCCTAGATGGTTCCAGTGCGCAGTCAGAATACCAAACCAATGGCTGAGAGTCGAAGTCTCGGACAAAACCCTAGCCCCCGGGGGCTGGAGAGAGGTTCATTCTCTCCTGAAGGACAAGGATAGAGAACCAAGTCAGGGTTCCGGGAGTGTGGGGTCGGGGAAGAGGAAGGATCGCTGTTTACCAGGTAATGGAAAGTGCAGACTCAGTCTCCATTCCCAGCTACTGGACAATCGTGGGGCAAAGAGCTCAGTGGGAAAAATCAAAGGCATTAAAAATGGTTATTCTTAGAGATAAGGTGTATAACTGTTGGAAAGCAGAAATAAAGTATTGAATTAAGCTTTGAGAAATGGTTCTATAATAAGGGGTGGGAGGGAGAGAGTTTTAAAAGCTTTTGCAATTTATCTGAGAGGGTAAGACATGGCCAGCAGTACTTACTGAAGAGGACTGTTTGCCCTGTCCGTTCTGAAGCTCCTGTTACAGCTGTGAGTTAAGCCCTGTGAACACCACATGTGCTTATTGTAGACAAACCCTGCCACAAAGCCACAGGCACAGCACACTTCTCTGTTAGGTCTGTATCTCTTAGAATATTAGGACCCTAACTGGGATTCTAGCAGCTTACTTCCTGAGGCTCAGAGCTGCCTCCTGGATTCGGAGAACCTGTCAACACCATCTGCTGAGTATATAATGTGGACTGTGAGAAATACGGACTTGGAATCAGGAGACATGGATTTGAAACTTGATGCATTCATCCTGGGCCGGCTGTTAAACACTCCCAATCCTTGTTCTCTACCTCTATTAAATGACAATACTAATAACCATACCCACCTCATAAGATTGTGATGAAGATAAAAAAGGATAAGTTGGCTGGGTGCATTGGTTCACACTCCTTTTAATCCCAGCACTTTGGGAGGCCCAGGGAGAAAATCGTGTTAGGCCAAGAATTTGACATCAGCCTAGTCAACACAGCAAAACCTCATCTCTTCAGAAAATAGAAAAATTGGTCAGGTATGGTGGTGTGCGCCTGTAGTACTAGCTACTTGGGAGGCTGAGGTGGGAGGATCACTTAAGCCCAGGATTTTGAGGCTGCAGTGAGCTATGATAACACCATTGCACTCCAGCCCGGGCGGCAGGGCAAGGCTGTTTCTTTAAAAAAAAAAAAAAGAGAGAGAGAGAGACAGAGAATAACTTGTGAACTCTTAATTCTTAATACAAATTATATTTGGTTGAGAGATCAGTGTATCAGTATTTCCCCATCTAAAGTTCCCATAGCCATCAGACAAGGAAGGGAGGAGAAGAAGCACTTTCCAGTTCATCCCGGAGCAGGTGGAGTTCAGACCCTGCTTCTAAGAGCAGGCCCCCATCTCTTCACTCCCCCTGCTTTATTCCCCAGTCACCCTCACCCTCATTTGATTTCATTTGCCAGGAAGGGATGAGGAAAATGGAACCAAGGATTTGTATTGTTTGTGTTTCCCACCACAGTCTGTCTCAGAGGCAGAACATGAGAAGTCCGGAATTTCTCCCTGGTCGTCTCTGCACAGCCCCCGGTGCCACCTATAAAGATTTCCATTCCAAGTGAAAGCCACTGCACTTCAAAAGCAGCAGAGATGGGTTCTCCTTCATGTTCCCTGTATGTGAGGGAGAGAACCAAACAGCAGGGTCAAACAGAGACACTTCCAAACCTGTGCCTTATTTCTGGGGGGAAAAAAGAAAAAACACTGATTCAATCTGGGATATGGTAGCTTTCTGTCTCAGAAAGCTGGGCAGGACCAGAGAAAGTGGCTTTGTGAAATGTGGGGACAAAGCTAGCTCAGGGCTCTGCTCTTTCTCAGCTGGCCATCCGTCAGGGGAATCAGGGCAGGCCTTCCCCTCCCAGCTGACTTGGAGCCACACAGCAGCTTCCACGTGATTCCATGGCCAGCGCGACAAACGCATGGGCTTGGCTGAGGAAGCACAAGTTCTGCGGGGATGACTGGATCCCAGGTCCCAGGAGAGATAGCGAGACATGTTGGAAACACTGTTTCTGGAATCTTGTGCTTGACTGCTCAGGAATGTGTGGTCTGGGTAACTTTCTGGTTTGACTTACAGGAAGGTCTGATGGGGGCAGAGCGGGAATGTTGTAACAGCCCTAGATCACCTTGGAAAAATACTGTTCGCCTGCCAGCCCGGAACTGCCATTCCAGGAAGCAGCTGCTGGTGAATCAGCAGCCTCCCCTTTCCTTGTGGCTCCAGGAAGCACGTCTAGGGCCTCCCCCACCTCCCCTCCAGGAAGGGAAATGCCCACTAGCCATATACAGGCTCTTCTGGAAGGGACTAGAGATGAGGACTCCATGGCAGATTCTCCATTCTGCCCCACCCCATGCCCCGCACCACACAAAGGGAATTGGAAAAGGGAAGACAGACCCCTAAGCCTCAGACTCAGGCTTTTGATGTAGAAAATCATACATCGTTTCTAAGCCTCTTGTCTGGAGTTCACAACAATAAAACTAGGTAGAAATCTCTACACGCTGGTTGGCATGGGTTACATTGGCCTCAACATAACGTCTGTTTCTTACCTGCAGAGCCAGCCTGGGGCTGAGAAGCTCACAGGAAGTTGTCGGTTGGCTCTGGTCAGGTGGCTGTTTGGGTGTGAGGGCCATTTGTACTCAAGGTCAAGGAGCAGCCTCAGTAGGCCATTAGACAGCTGGAAGAGTCTTGGGAAAACATAGGGGGACCATAACGCCAGCTGTCCATTCCCTCCATGGGCCCTCTGGTGCCTCCGCCTGGGTGGAGAGTCTCTGCTTTCTGCCTTTCCATTGGCCAATCTCTGGCCTCCTCCTGAGGTTGCTGCTGTCCCTGGAACAACTTTGGGCTACTGGACACAGCAGTTATGCCTCAATTTCCCTATAGCTACATGGAGCTAATTAAACAGTGGATGGATTTGGAGAGGTGGATCATTTCAGATTCGCTCCTGGATTTTCACCCCCACTTGAGAGAGAGCTAAATCTCCTTCTTTCTTCTTTCTCTCTTTTGCTCTTTTTCTGTGTGTGTGTGTGTGTGTGTCTGACTCACCTCTGTGCGGTTACGTTTAAACACCAGTTTAGATCCCAATGACCCACATTCAGCCTTAGTGACTCTGAAGCAAGTCCATGCTCACTGATGACTCAGGAGAACTGGGGCCTTGAGAGATGAGCTGAGTCAATGAATGTGAGCTGTGGAGTTTTTACCACTCCCCCTCTCCCAATCCTTTTGTAATGTACCCACTCCCTTAGCTTTCTCTGAGCGTCAGTGTCCTTGGCCTTCCAGGGCTTGTGTGAGTACATGGAGGAATCAAGGGAGAGGTGGGTGAGATCACCACAACCACCCTCCTCGACTCTTCATCCTCGAGGCCTTTAGGACAGGTGCCCCCAGGCTCCATGGGAGGCAGGCAGCTGTGCAGGCTGCAGCAATGTGAACAGGGAAGCCGAGAGGAGGGTGTTGGGACAGGAGCCAGCTCTAAGCAACCTCCTACAGGTGATGGTTTTGGCTTCACCTGTTGGCCAGAGCCCTCCAGCAGAGAGGGGGAATTTATATGCTACTGTGAAACTTCTAGATAAACCCGAAGTCGGGGTAGATGAAGGTAGAGGGAAGAGAAGGACCTCCCAGGGACCAGCCCCTGGAGCTCATTTCCTCCCCTGAGAAACAATGTCACCCTCATTCCTCTCCTTTCTCTGCCTGCCTTTGCTCAGTTTCCATTCACTGCCTCTGTTACTTTGGGTTGTTCATGGTTAAGCCCAGTGGTTCTCATCAGCCACACCTGGAAACTTGTTAGAAGTATAAATTCTCAGACCCCGTCCCGGGCCTACTGAATCAGCAGCCCTGGGATGGGACCAGCAGATCTGTGTTTTAACTAGCCCACCAGCTGATTCTAATGCCTGCTCAAGTCTGGGAACCCCTGGCCGCACCTCTCTCCCCAGTTAGGCTACCGCCTCCTAGAAAGTACCGACTTGAGAGGGCTTAGTGTAGTCCTGGGCACCCAAGGACTCAGCTCTGCACAGAAACTGTACCAGGAAAGTAGAAAGAAGATTCAAGGAGGCAGTCTGGTCATGATCCGAGTTCGAACCCAAGGCTTAGGACCTGGGTTCCAGTTGGGTGACCTTGGCCAAGTCACTTCTCAGACTCCCCGGTTCCTCCTCAGTAAAGTAGATGGAAGAACTGGGTCTCTGGGATTTGGGTAGTTCTCATGTCTAGAAATCTGGATCCAGCCAGGGCCTGGCTCATGATTCCCCTCCTGTGTGTGCTGACTCTGCCCAGCCCCCGTGGAAGAGTCAGCATGCAAGGGAGGAATAACGAGGCAGGCCCTGCGCTTCTCCTGGTCCTCGGGCAGTTACTGTTTGTGAATGTGCGATATGGAGAGGGAGAGATTGAATCTAGAAATGAATTAGAAACATAGGAGGAGAAGCCAGAGCCCGCAACAGTAATGAAGCCCATCCTTTGAGTGTTTGCCCCTGGTGGGTTGAAGGCGGAGTCCCTCTGTCAGGAACTCAGTTGAACTGGGAGAGGGAGCTGCCAGGTGTCACAATAGTCAATTAAGGCAACAAGCCCAAAACAAAAGAATCAAGCTTTCAATCATGTCCTGCAATGGTATAAGCAAGTATCTGAAACCAGAGAAATCGTGGGCTCTCCCCGTTCCATTTCCCCTGTGGAACACACAGGGGCCCAGGGTCAAGCAGGTCAGCGGGAATGCGGGCTTGGGGTGGTCTCACTGCTGACAGGGCCCTGAACAAAAGGCTCTGGAAGTTGTATGGACTCTGGGGCCAAGAGCAAGGGACCGGGAAGGCTAGGAGTGGAAGTACTAGGTTCTGAGTCATTGTGGGGAAAAGTGACTTCAAGGTTTCTCTCCCTTCCCTGCCCCACCCAAAGGAGGCCTCAGCAGAGGCGCCTAAAGAACACCTCTCCCCAAGGCTTCTAATGAACCCAGGAATGAAGGCTCAGGGGCTAGGAATGCAAACATGTGATGACTATGACCAGCCAGAGAGACCTGAGACCTTGAAAGCTCCCTCCAGAGACTGCCACGCATGGGCTGCACCCCAGGTCTGGTGTAGGGTTCAGCTTTCCCTGAGTTTATGGTCAGGCCTGAAAAAACACACACAAGTTTTTCACCAGGAGGCCCAGGGAGATACTATGTGGCCTCTTCTCCCGCCTACCTCTTCTGAGCCACCCTTTCCAGCTGTCAGGCAAGTATCAGGGCACCTACCTCTGCACAGAAGGGCAATGACTTTCTCCAGGTGTCTAGGCTCAAAGCTCTTGGTGTCTGCATTTTAAGCTCTGGGTATCTCTGGGAAATAATAGAGAGGACTAAGTATAAACACCCATCGAGCCTTCACATTATTGGCACATGTAAGATTCTGTTAGGTCAAGTGGCACCCTCCTTAGCCTTTTTCTGAGGATGACCATGTGTTAATTGCTACAGATCAGAACTGTCTTCCTGAAAGTTGTCCAGGGCTGTGGGAAAAAAGTTGAATATTTCAGTGCAAGTTCTGTTGACACTAAAGCTACCACTGAATCACTCACTTATCCCAGCCTATACTTTTTATTTTTTATTTTTTAATTTTTTCAGACAGCATCTTACCCTGTCACCCAGGGTTGATGGAGTGGCATGATCTTGACTCACTGAAACCTCTGCCTCCTGGGTTCAAGCGATTCTCCCACCTCAGCCTCCCGAGTAGCTAGGACTACAGGCACCCACCACAACATCCAGCTAATTTTTGTATTTTTTGGTAGAGACAGGGTTTCGCCATGTTGGCCAGGCTGGCCTTGAACTCCTAACCTCAAGTGATCCACCACCTCAGCCTCCCAAAGTGCAGGATTATAGGCAGGAGCCACTGTGCCTGGCCTAGCCTATACTATTTTCTTTATATTATGTACTTATGTGTCCTGTCTTTTCTATCAGATGGTAAGCTTCCTGAGGACAAAGATGATGTCTTACATGTGTGTATGGCACCCAGAGTATTTTGCTCTCAAATACGTACTGCTCAGATAAGCTTTCAGGATACAGAACCTCAGATACCCACAAAACTGTCTCTCCTAGTGTTGTCTGGAAATAAGTCTTACGTTTATTTACTTTTACATATAACTGTATCTTATCTTCCCAAGAAGATTGGAAGTATATTTATGTTTAAGGCATCACAGTAGCTGGCTCATCATTAGCTGTCAACAAGTAAATACTTCACCATTAGATTTCTTGGAGCCGTCTTCACCAAGAGACAGAAAGTTAACTGGAACTAAAATTTTAATCCTCTCAAACTCCAAGAAGACCTGTTTCCCAGGCATGATCCAACAGAATCTCTGCTTTTTAGAGTCCCTTGGAGAGGTTATTTCTGAGGTCAGCAAGCTAACAGGATCACCTCCCACCACCCTTTGCTTCAATTTGCCCTAGTACTCAGACTTAATTGGTGGGGACATGGGTCTGTGTATAAAGCGCTTGGAAAGTATTTGTTATTATTCATCAGGGCCACCATTTGAAATTGGCCAGCACAGTCATCCCTACTTGGCCATAGTAATCAAGGCGTGGCTGAGAAAGAAGGAATGTGTGTTTCAACAAGCCAGAGAACTGGTCTTCTGCTTTCTAAATGGACAATTTATATAATTTACATAGAGACGCATCTTCCACTCTAGGCATGCACAACCTAGCCCGCCGTCCCAGTACATTCTTCTCTTTCCTTACATTTACCCATCCCACCTGCCCCTCCTGCTTTTTTGAAGGTGAGCGAGCAGGTCCCAGGCTTACAGCTCAGTTGGACTGCGGTTGCCCCGTCTTCTCTGGTGATTTCTCTGTCTTATGGTCAGGAGCCAGACTCTGGGTCTGTTCAACTATGTAGAGGAAAGGTCACCAGAGAAATTCCAGTTTGGCATTCCTGTAGGGATCAGAGATTCTGACTGCTCAACAAAATTACCTGGAGGAGAATTTTAATAATACGGCTTCCTGGAACTTACCCGGAAACATTCTGATTCAGTCAGTCTGGGGTGAAGCTCAATTGGCTGTCTTTTTCTAAATCTTTATAGATGATTCTGATGCACTGGCAAGTTTGGACACTGGATAAATTCTAAGCTCTCTGAGATCAGGAAACATATGAGTATCGCATTCTGTATCCCACAATGACTAACTCAGCACCTGGCACACAGCAACACTTTAGAAATTGTTATTGAGTCAATGAGCAAATGGATGGTTGAAAATAGGTTGGTGGATTGGGAGTACAGTCAACCTAGCATCTTTTAAAATAATTTTTAAATTGACAAATAATAATTGTACACACTTATGGGGTACATAGTGAAGTTTTGATATGTATCGTGTACAGTAGGTCAGGGTAATTGGCATACCCATTATCTCAAACATTTATCATTTCTTTGTGTTGGAAACGTTCAATATCCTCCTTCTAGCTATTTGAAATTATATTCAAATATATAGATAATCATCCCACAGTGGTATAGAACAGTGCAGCTTATTCTTCCTATCTAGCTGTAATTGTGTTGACTTTAACAAATCTCTCCCTATTCATCCCTTCCCAGCCTCCAGTGTCCTCTGTTCTACTGTTTACTTCTATGAGATCAACTGGTTTTATTAGCTTCCACATGTAAGAACATACAGTGGTTAACTTTGCCTTCCTGGTTATTTCATTCAACATAGCGTCCCTCCATGTTGCTGCACAGGACAGCATGATAGGATTTGATTCTTTTTTATGGCTGAGTAGTATTCCATTGTTAAATACACACACACACACACACACACACACACGCCATGTTTTCTTTATCCAGTCATTTGTTTCTGGACACCTGGTCAACCTAGCATCTTACCTAAAGGCTAGTTAAGGGCCAATGGAGGCAGAAGGCCAAACCACTCACAGTGGGGCCAGAAATAGGAATAAGGCAGCAGTGTGCGGGTGGAAATAGAAGAAAACTTAGTTAATTTGATCCCCAAGTGGGAGAACATGACCCATGTCCTTGAAAATGCTGCTACTTTCAGCGATGCTGCCGCTTGCTGCCCCTGTGCTGGGACTTACAGGACTTCTGCTCTCCAGTCCCACCTAAGAAAGCAAATTGGATCCGTCACTTCCCTGTTTAGACCTTCCAAGGCCCTGCATTGTTCTCAGGATGAAGTCAATGCTCCTTTCTCTGGCTGAGTCCTGGCTCCTCCTCAGCCCATCACTGCTACTTGCCCTCATCTGTCTGTGCCCACCGGCCACCTTGCCTTCCTGCAGATCCTACCGCCTGCCATGTTCTGTCACCAGTCTCTGTCCTCTCTGCCTACAATGCTCATTCCCTGCCCCCGTGTCCCCTAGCAAATTCCCATGCGACCATTACATTACAGCCTGAAAGCATCCGCTTCTCTTTTCCCCGGGGGCTGCCAGTTCCCTGGGGTAAAGGTCAGTCTGTTGTGTCCAAATCCTAGCCAGTAGATGCTCCCATGTTTGCTGAATGAACATAAGTTGGGACGGGAAACCAAAAGACACTCAGGACTGGGGTTCGTTTTTGTTCCTGTAAAACTGGATTGATTCTGCAGAGGTACAAACATGCCCGTTGATTTAGATCTGTCGAGGAATTGGGGTAGAGGCTGGGGTGGGAGTTTTGCTAAGAAGAAAAGAAGGTGAAAGTGGGAGATTCCACAAGAGACCAGATTGTCATGCCCAATCTGCCGCTAGGGTCAAAGACCAGCTCCCTGGTCACACTCGGCCAAGGCAGGCTGCCGAGCTGGCTCCAACCCTGAGCAAAGCCAGGCAGCCGCCCAGGTGGGTGAAGGCTGCAGGTTGCACTCAGGCGTGACGCCGGGGTGCAGGTGGGAGTGGCGCCCGGATGCGTGGGTGCAGCGCTCGCCCGCCCGCGGTCAGGCGCACCGCGGGAACCGGTCAGGTGCGCCGTGCGGGGCGGGGCGGAGGCAGGGCGTGCGCCCCCAGGCTGGTGCCGGGGGCAGAGGATTCGCCTGCTTGACGCGCTGATGCCTTGATTTGGTCTGACAAGTAGAGGCTGCTTTGAGAAGCGGCCTGGATTTTTGACATTCAGCAAGCTAGAAATAACCAGCTGGGCTCCTGGCGCTCTGGCCATAAATGTCTTGCTCTTTCCAGGCAACTGCCAGAATTAAGGGGCTTTTCCCCAGTGTAGACCTGTGCTCTGTCTGCTAGGAGGCCTGGGTTCCAGTCCAGGCTCAGCTTCTGACTCCCTACTTTAGGAGGAATCACTGAATTGACTGCAGCTCGGCTTCTCCCATGTAAAATGGGGCTGTTGTTGGCTGAGCCTCTTCTGCCTCTGGTAGAAAATGATTCCAAATGGCTGCCCTGTCCACCCTAATCCCATGGCCCAAACTTGATGTCTGCTGCTTCTAGAAGCCTAGTGCTCCAAATATCTGCTCTGGGAGGAACTTGCAGGTGATCCTGATTGGAAATGGAGCTGATTAACCTTTTGTGTTATCATTGACTCTGTGAGAATCTGTTGCAATCTAGGGGCTCTTACCCTAGACAAATGAACACACCAGCCAAATATAGCTTACAAGTGTAGAAAGCTGCTGGTCTGAACCACAGACCCCTGGTTTAACATCTGTAATCTAGTCAACCCCTCTTTTTCCTTGAAGGCTGAACCAAGCATGAAGGGTTTTCCCCACCTTCCAATCCTCATACCTGCAGGCACCCCCTTTTCCTGCTTCCTCCCTTCAGTCATCTTCCTCACCATCCCCCATGCTTGGGCATGCTCAGGAGGGAAATTGTCCTATAAATATCTGTAAAAGGCATGGTATGTCCTGTAGCAGAGAAAGCAAAAACCAAAAAAAATAATCCCCCCACCCCTGGCGTGGCATGTGCAGAGCTCTGCCTGATCCTTCTCTCCCACAAGCCTGGGGGGTGGGTAAAAAAAAGTGGGAGGTGAAGCTGCTGCAGCGAAGTGCCCCTTCAGAATCTTCAGTACCCTTCAGAGTCAGCGCTGTCATCACTATCACATAAACTGTACAACTCCACTGTCAACCAGCAGCCGCCTGGCTGGCAGCAGGAAGAGGCAATGCCATTTTGCACAGTAGCTTGCTTGCCCAAGGTATTGGCTGGCAAATGGGCTTCTTGTGCAATGGGAAACCACAGGGAGGGGACTCTTAAATGTACCCAAAAGAAACAGCTCTAACAATAGATGATTCAACAGGCTAGTAATTGGCGCTCACTCATACCACATTGTTTTGATAAAATGACATAGCCCAACTGCGGATATAAAGGCAGTAAATAGAAAAGCTAACCTCTTGCTACTCAAATTGTGGATGAGACAAGCGACATCCCATCACCAGAAGCTTGATAGAAAGGCAGGCTCCATCCCAGACCTATTGAAAGGAGATCTGCATTTTAGCAGGATTGCCAGAGGATTCACATCTTAATGTTTCAGAGGCCTAATCCAAAGTCTTCTGATAATGATCATTAGAGTCCCAGCCATTCCCCACTTCCCCCTGGGAAAACCACAACAAATAGACCAAATTCCTCCAAGCCCTGCTCATAAGAAGAACCCACAACCCACAGACACCTCCTCACTCAGCTAGAGACCTCACCCACCTGTTTGCAGAATCACCCACCTTGGGCTATTATTCTTTTCTATTATTTAATCTTCTGGGAAGACAGAGGTCTTCTATCTGGAGATAAAAATGACAAAGGAGAACCTCCTGAACAGAATCCAGTTTGCCTTTAGCTTTAGCCATCACTCTGACCTAGTGCTGCTGGACTCAGTTCCAAGGTCTAACTGTCAAATGCTTTAGGGGAAATGGGAGGAGGAGAAGTCCCTGGAGTTACCCATGTGCACAGCCTGGCACTGTTTTCACTTGCCTTTGGAAATGAAGGTGCAGAAACCATGGGAGGTAAGGAAGGCACAGACTAGTGACTTCCAGAGTGGGACAGAAGGGAAAAGATGGAAGACAAGTACAGAAAACCACTCAGGAAAAGATAGGCTGGAGTGATGCCTGCTGAGACAGGGTCCTGATCTCCTAGGACTTCCCTTTCTGCCTGTTCTGTACAAATACCTAGGGTTTTGTGGTTTAAGAAAAGAGATGCTTAGCAAGCTTATAGAAAATGTAGTGTGGGCACTTTGTTGCTGTCCTGGCTTTTAAAGGACTCAGAAGCAGATCAACTTCAAGGTGTTAGCTACTCTGTTTGTAGCCTTAGAAAGACATCCTTGATGTTTTATTGTTCTGCCTTTGCTCAGAGCTAGAAACTCTCCCTGGGGAAATGGCTCACCTTGAAAGAGATGCTATTGTAAGTGAAAATGTTTTAGCTTCACTTCCAATCTCTGGTTCCCTGTGGGAAGTAACTGCTGCTGTGGTATGTATGCCCTGTGCCTTTTATTGCATCTTTACCTCAGTGGACACAGCTGGTTAAAACTTATGTTTCCATGGAGATTGATTCAGACAACAGGAAAAATAACTGTAAAAAAAAAACTGCACAGTACAAGGGCTAGATTCAGGTTGTAGAACAAAGTGATTATTACTTAGAATCCTGGATTAGCAAGAGAATCAGAAAGATGCTGAGATTATCTGGTGTTATCACCATCCAGGTGAAATGCAGAATAAAACTTTTTCCCCACGACCTAGATATTGGGCAGTTTATTATAGATGCTACAAAGGGATTTATTATGTTTTTCCCAAAATGGTTAATTAGAGGCATCCCAAATTACAACTCCTTTAGCATAACTCCCAGCTCCAGGCAGCCTACTTACTATGGGCCCAGCTACTGACAGCTCAGCTCTCTTTGCCAATCCAACTTTTTTTCCCAAAATGCTCAAACTTTTCTTCTCCAAGAAGACTTCCTGAATGATCCCAGTTCATAGGGATCTCATTCTTAATGCAGGGGAAATTCACTGTTCAGGAATAGTCTCCATACCATCACACTCTTCTTTTTGTGTAGTCATGGAATTCTTCTCCGGTTGTTTTTTTCTTGCCTGTCTACGTAGATAGATCAGTAGCCTTCAATAGTCTGCATCTCCTGTTATCTTGCAGCCTCCTACTATAAACAGTAGGTGATTTACTTATGCCAGCTGGGTTGACCTAGACAGTAGTCTCTAAGTAGCAGGTCCTTGGCTCATCCATCTGAAACCAACGACCTCTTAGGCAGACTGAGAAAGGGTTAGGACTGTTGACACTGGGACATCCTTGGCTCTGTATGAATGTTGTTTTTAAAAGCAGGGGTTTTGTCTCCAGTGCATTGAAGAGATAAAACCCCATTGTCAGCATATTTCTTCAGGGTCTTTCTGTGTTAAATCTCACTGCCAAGTCAGAGTCCCAACACACAGACTCTCACTTTTCCCTGTGTAATCCCCAGCAATAGGCAGAAGTGAGACAAGTAGTAGAATGTGCTCAAATCATGGCCTATTCTTAATAAAAGAAACCAGGACAGCTTGGGGGCTGGCTCATTTCTTCTCAAATTCCCCTAGTGTTCTGAACCAAACATACGAAAAGAGTAGATTTGTTTTATTCACAGGTATTAATGCTTCTCTGAAAGCAGTTGTTTGGGTGGCTGGAATATCAGTAGTCATTGACCAATAAGGCTTGCAGGTGTGAATCAGACTCTGGACTTCCAGAGCAGAGCTACTATCTACTACTATACATCACCTTCATCCTTACAGAATCACTGAGAACATTCATTCATTCACAAGCAGTCATGTCTGCCGCCTGCCAGGCACTTGTAGTAGGCATTAGAGATACAATGGCAAGTGAAACAGACACAGCATGTAATCTACAGAGAGAGACTGGGAATTAATTCCATAAGTAAAAGGAAGTATATAATTATCAATTGTGATAAAGGCCCTGAAGCAAAAGAATAGGATGTTCTGCAATAATATTACAAGAGCTTTATCTGATCTAATGTGTATGGGGAGGGGAAGCCTCAGGGAATGCTTCTCAGGGGAAGTGACATTTGAGCTGAGCATTGAAAGAAGAATAAAAATTAAAAAGTAAAGAGGGGGCCAGGTGCGGTGGCTCACACCTGTAATCCTAGCACTTTGGGAGGCCAAGGCAGATGGATCACTTGAGGTCAGGAGTTCGAAACCATCCTGGCCAAAATGGTGAAACACCATCTCTACGAAAAATACAGAAAAATTATCTGGGTGTGGTGGCAGGTGCCTGTAATCCCAGCTACTTGAGAGGCTGAGGCAGGATAACTGCTTGAACCCGGGAGGCGGAGGTTTCAGTGAGCCAAGATCGCACCACTGCACTCCAGCCTAGGCAACAGTGAAACTCTGTCTCAAAAAAAAAAAAGTGAAGAGGAGTTAGAGAGTGCTCAGGATATAAACAGTTAGTTCATTGGAGGAAGTGGAGTAAAGTCCTTGTGGCTGGATTAAAGGGAACAGGGAAAACCAAGATATACAGAGGTAGGCAGGGGCTGGATCACATGTATACACAGTATTGAGGACTTTGGCTTTTATTTTGGAACAGTGGAAGGCCGTTTTAAGCAGAGGATGAGAACATTAAATTTATGTGTCCAGAGATTGCTCTGATGAGACAAGCGGTGAACAAAAACATCATTACTCAGGTCTCATCCAACTCTTCCATTGTATATTCTAATAAACCACCCAAGTTCTGCTTTCATAGCTCTGAGCCAAAGTGAGTTATACCTCCCCAGGCCCACTGAAAATCCCAGAGAGCTTACTGAATGGCATGGGGGCCCTGGTAAAACTCACTGTTCAGGCATTTGAATCTGGGCCACTTCATTACTATCAGCATTTTGCCTCCACTCCCAAGGAATAAATCCTTAAAATTATAACCTTTGGGTCCCCATGCCCAGGCAGGCTCGCTTCTGTTGGATCACAGTAATCATGGTTTTGACTATGAATTGCCGATCCCAAATTAAATGATTAACCCAAGGTCAATGAGCTAGTCAGCTGCCACACCAAGGACAGATTTTCAATTCCCTGCACTCAAGGCAGATGCACTCCTCAGGATGGCTGTCAGAGGCTTAGAAAAAGAAAGTGTTCCATGTTCCCAAAACATGTAAACGTATTCTTTGCTATTCATGTTTATTCTGTGACTCAGAAGTTCCCAGCATCATTTTCTGGGGTGATCAGAAAATCTCTTTGAGGGGGAAATGGTTCCTCACTTGAAAAGTGTTTTTAGCCAAGTTGGTTCTTCCGTAGCGATGAGCATCCTTTGAGGATGATGCTGGCTTTCTTGCGGGCTGCTCCACCTTGCTATTTCCTGAAGCTACTGGAACAGTTGAAACAGGCATATGAATAACCCCTGGGTTGCCAAAAAGACACCGCAATCCTTAACAGGTTTTGATCTGAAAAGGAGCGGTTTGTTCACTTGATTTGCTTTACGAATTTTGCAACATTGGCAGGTTGTGCCTGGGCCTTTCCCAGCCCTCTCTGCAGAAATGAGAACCAGGATTACTCATCCTTCTGTATTTTAAAGGAATTCCAGGAGTGCTCAGACAAGCTGCTGAAAAAAAAAAAAAAAAACTGTTGTTATTTGACAACTTCTGAGCATGGATGTTTCAGGCCCCAGTAATGCCATGAAAATAGAAATGGCCCTTGTGCCAGAGGTAGCATTCTACTTCCATCAGGTGAGGTGGCAAGGCACGCAGGGTTGTTGGGGTGGCTCCCCGAAAGAGAGGCTGCTGGAAAAATTGGACCTACATGCCCAGCTTTGTCCTTGCAGGCAGAGCTCCTCCTTCAACCCACTTCTCACTCTATGAACTGATCTGTCCTGACAGCTGCCAAATTAGTCCTCTCATTCCTGGAGCTCGCTTTGGCACTCTCACGAATGCTTCTTTCAAAGTCCACTCTTCATTTAAAACGTTGCTCAGCCTTACTTCAGGGGTGAAATTAACGGCCTTAAAATTTTTCATAGAAAAGCACAGTTTCAACCAGCAAATAGGTTCCAAAGAATATGTAAATTATGGTGCTAGAACTTCCCCACCAAATTCAAATCTGTATTTGGATATAAGTGTTCTGTAAACAATTCTGAAGAACACAGATGTCAGAAGCAATTCCATGATGCCTGTTACCGTGTTTCTGTAATTTTTCAAATTTTGTTTTATTTTAAAATGACAATCATTGTATATACTTATAACATACAATGTGATGTTTGGATATATGTATACATTGTGAAATGATCATATCAGGCTCTTCACATATCCATCACCTCACATACTTCTCAATTCCTTGTAGTGAAAACATTAGAATCCATTCTTCTAGCAATTTTGAAATATACATTATTATTAATTGTAGTCACCTTGCTGTGCAATTTTCTTTCTGACCCATGCACTATCGGAATATCTTTTCTGTTTTATTCCTCCAAATTGGACCAGTCCCTCTGTTTGGGTCTAAGACCATGTTGGCCAAAAAGCAGAATCTAAATCCAGTCTAGAGTCTGATGGGAATAAAATGATGTGCTCCTCCCTCAGTTACTGACTGATCATCCCATCTGTCACCAACTGATGCGGTGGCCCTGGACAAACCACCTGACTGCTCTGTCCTCACTTTCTTTGTTTGCAGGAAAATGATAATACTACTCTTATGTGCTCACAGAGTTCTGGTGAAACATTTTTAATGTGCAGTATGTGGATGAACTTTGCAAAGTTTAAATATAGTATAGAAATATAATCATGTTATTATGTGAAATAGTGTTCTCCAACCCATTCTCTCTATTCTCCCTGGAAGACAAACAAACAAAAGTCATGCCAAACTAAGCATTTGTGATGGCAGGCCTAATTTACGTCTTGTCCAGAGTGGAGAAAGCTGGCACTATCGTGAGATGCATCCCCTGGTCCCTAAGAATAAACACACTCTGCATCTCTGCCTTGTGTTTGCTTCCTTGCACTGTCTCCATGGCCTGTACCTCAGGTTGGGGATAGGGGAGTACCAATTCCTGGAGGCATAGTCTGTTGAATATTGGCATAAATTCCACCAAACATTTTGGCCTGGCTGCCAATTTTTGGAGGGCTTGAAAAACAGTTTTGTGTGTGCACTGACTCTCACAGTGTCTTTCTTACACTGTAAATTACTGAAGACAGAAACCAGTCCCTGCCATTCTTTTTTAATGATGCAGTGATTTCCAGACGTGAGTAAATGCTTCTAAGGGCAAAGGGCTGTGGTTACACAGCTGTCACCAAATGGCTGGCATGTCTGGGGTGTGGTTCTCCATTTCTCTGGACCTCATTTTTCTAAGTTGGAGGTATTCAAATACCATTTGGTGAAACCCTTTGGTAGAGGTATTATTATTATTCTTATTTTTTGCATTTTTGGCATCTGTATAAATTTGAGCTAATAGAAAAAGTTTAAACACTGCTGCTTTCAGCACTAATCCTCTAATGCTCCAAAAATTCTACCAGAACCCCCACTGATTGCTTTATGAGATATTTATTTTCATCCAGTCCAAATTTTTCTTCTTTTTCCTTAAAAGCTAATAAATGTGGGGGAATAGTGGTTAGAAAGAGATTATGGCGGACGGGTGCGGTGGCTCACGCCTGTGATCCCAGCACTTTGGGAGGCCGAGGCACGCAGATCACGAGGTCAGGAGATCAACACCATCCTGGCTAACACAGTGAAACCCCGTGTCTACTAAAACTACTAAAAAATTAGCTGGGCGTGGTGGTGGGCGCCTGTAGTCCCAGCTACTCAGGAGGCTGAGGCAGGAGAATGGCGTGAACCCGGGAGGCGGAGCTTGCAGTGAGCGGAGATCGCGCCACCGCACTCCAGCCTGGGCGACAGAGCGGGACTCTGCCTCAAAAAAAGAGAGAAGAGAAGAGAAGGGGAGGGGAGGGGAGAGGAGGGGAGAAGAAAAAGGAGAAAAGAAAAAAAAGAGGTTATGGCCCTGATGTCTGGTAGATCAGGGATTCTCGACTTGATCCACTCAGTCTGGAAAGATTTTCTATAGGAAGTGGTGACAAGAGGGCTTTGGTCACGTTAAATAGGAACCAGGACTGGAACCCTCATAGCCTGGCCATCTTCCCAAAGAGTACAGGCAGAAGATAGAAAATTGCAAGTAACTCCTGAGCCTCTATACTAGCCAGTAATGAAATGTGTACTTCTAGGATGGGTCCTATGTTCTGTCTTCCGAAGTAATCTTGATTAAAATAGACCAACATAAATGAAGAGATGGACAATTCATTAGAAACCTAAACTCCTATCTTCTAAAAGTGGCATAATTTGCTTAGTCTTCTGGCTGTCAATAAGCTGTGAGTGCCATTGACCCAAATGTTGCTGTGTCTTTGCCAGGTAACAAAGGACCAAGACTAAATTTGGTGGGCCAGGGAGAGTGGCATCCCATAGGAGGCCCCCAAAGGGAATCTGCTGCAAAATGGGTAAGGTCCTCAAACAATCCACCTGGCCTACCCCACTCTGCCCACCATTGTCTGCTGGGAAAGTGGGGACATCACACATCTAGAATCCATGTTCACTTCTTCCATCTCCAGCAATTATTCCCTACCATGCAACCCTCCTAAGGCCCCCAGTCTAAAACTCTCTCCAAACTCAAAAGGTTTGTCCAACAGAGAGATCTTGTGAACACATTGGGACTAGTAGCTTTTTCTGAACCTATCCTTAAAGCTCTTCTCGAGACCACGTGTTGATACTCTGTCTCTTTTCTCATCTCTCTGTTTCTCCCTCCACCCTCTCCCTTCCTCTTTGGTGATCCCACAATGTTTGTCCCTATGTCTGCTCTCATCCTCCATCACAGAGTCTTTCTACATAATGCTGAGCACCTGGAAACAATCTCTCAGTAATGTGTTGTCACTTTAGCACTCTCATGAAGTCAAGAGGCAGATTTCTCAGGAAACATTTAAAAGGAGATTGAGTGTCTCTGTTTTGAATTATGGCACATGGAGAGAAAAGTCAAAACAGAGTATTATAATAGGCTTAGAGAAATCCCAGGACTGAAGCTCCTTAAATATGCTTTTGTGACCTAGTTGGAATGTGGCACAAGTTGTCTTTTT